AATGTGATTAATAATCTACTGAATAAATCACATAAAAATGCTCGAGAAAAAGGAACTTAACATACTGAACCAGCAAGTACGGCCCGTGGTTCGCTACGTGCGCAACCACGTCACCATTGGCCGCAACTCCGCACACATGATTATTCATCCGAACAATTAAGCTAAACTAAACATGATTTTGCACATAAAGGCTAAATATGCGAGAATAGTTCGGAGGATTTTAACTTAGAACATAACATGATCGGCACGGCTTCTCGCACGGCCTTAATGACAAAAGACACGCATGAAGACCGGAACTAAAAACTGAATTCAACTAGCATGATAATCTCAGCCGTACTACCGCCGGAAGTTACCTTCAACAAAGCTCGGCGATACGACTCCCCGGATTTTCTTGCTCGGCGTGACCTGTCGCGTGTACTGCCGTGTGCGTGTCCTCGGATCACCATGCAGATGTATACGGCTATGCGTGCGGAAGCTTGCGGTACGGCAGACTGCTTACAGCTTATGCGCGATAGCTCGAACGTGCGCTAGCTTGCGGAATACTCTTGGCAATTGCTTACGATCAATACACAAAAATCTCACAAAATTCACTTAACTCTCTCCTTCACTATATGATGGCTGAATTATTGAAATGAACTTACGGTAAGCTCATAAAGAACACATATGTGGGAAATGGTGGGAAAATTCCCCACCCAACACCTCTTTATATACGGCCACCGAAGGGAAAAGTAGTGATGGAGAGGTTATGTGGTTAAATAATGCTAAGGACACTTGTAACATGCAAACTAAGGCTTAATATGACTAAGCCCCCATCTTTAATCTCCTAATGCCACGTTAAGACCACTTAAAATGAGGAAAGTTGGACAAATTCCCCAAGGTTACCACACTTAGGCATAGGGATGGCAGCGGTTCGGTTTCGGTTCGGATATCCGCGGTTTTTGGTTCTGCGGTTTTCGGTTTTCGTTCTCAAATTTCACCCACGGTTTTGCGGTTTCGGGTACCCGAAAGTCTTCGGTTTTGGTGCGGATCCTATATTTCGCCAGTGGTGCTCCGTTGGGTGCCCAAAATAGACGGCCCATCAAAAAGCCCACCAAAAACCCTAGCTATATAAGTGGAAATTTTCTCTCCCTCTTATCCTCTCCCCGTCTCCCGTGATGGCTTAGCTTAGCTATGTACTCTACTACCTTTATGGCTTGTACTGTACGTTGGTACTTGCTAATTTGTGACTGGTTGCCTGGTACTCTCTAAGTTATCATGTTTTATGTTGTTGTCTTTGGTGTTTTATTATAATATTTTTGGTTTTTTGGGTATCCGTTTGGTTTTTGGGTATCCGCGTGTTTTGGTTTTGGTGAAGGATTTTCACCCGAAACAGTTTTGGTTTTGGTTTTGATTTTTAAGTTTGGGTTTTGGTTTTGGGTGCCCTGAGGTTCCATCCGATCCGAACCCGAGCCGCTGTCATCGATCCTTACTTAGGCATACGGAAATGATATGGAACTTAATTAAATGCCCGTACGGCTTTTTAATACTAACTTGGATTAATTAATACTTAATCCTTCAATTATGTTTAATTATTAAATTAAACATAATGCTTATTTACCAAAATTATTCCGAACGTAAACGGTACGTCGAAAATAATTTCCGGTAATTTCGACTGAAAAGACTGAAAATAATTAATTCCGAAAATTAATATCGGAACTAATAATATAATTTATACTGAAATTGACGGGATATTACAGCTCCGCTTGTTCTTGCTTCTGCTGTGCTTCTGTAATCTAACTCGTCTCTGAAGTGAGGGAAGAGAAGAGGATTTTTTTTTATATTTCATTGTAAAACGTATTACTCGAATACGTTTTTTACTTTTATTTAATTGTAAAACGTATTTTGTGAATACGTTTACGTTATTTTTTTAATAAATTAAACTGTATAAACGTATTTCGAAAATACGTCTTAAATAGATTTATTTTTAAATTAATTTTAAAGAACTGTATATCGAAAATACGTTTACAGAAACCCTAAAATTGAATTTAGGGTTTTTGAAAACGTATTATGCAAATACGTTTTATATTTACTATTAATTTAATTTAATTCAATTCCACTTTTTGTAACGGAAAATTATTTTTTTTAATTTTACAAAAATATTTATAAAACGTATTACCGGAATACGTTTTCTCTAATAAAATTTTATTAGAAAAATGTATTCCTAAAATACGTGCTTTTGATTTTTTTCCACTCCTTTTTTTTTTGTTTTTGTCCACTTGTTTTTTTTTTTATTTTTAAACAAATAAATCACCCCGCATTTGATTGAGCCTCATATTCAATCCAAATGTTAATGACGTCCATGAAAATATTTTTCTTATTTGGTATACTTCTTATTTCACGATCATTATATTATTATTACAGTTTTGTTATGAAGCCAACAGTTGGCTTCATAGTGAAGTCAATCTACCATATTAATAAAATTTAATGTTATTTAAGTGATCAGAGAATATGATAGGTTTACTTGTTGTATATAAAAGATTGACTCCACTGTGAAACCAACTGTTCATACAA